ACAGAACTGGCCCAAGAATTGAGCCCTGAAGAACACTGCTGGTGACTGGTCCCCAGCCAGATGTGGCCCCATCCCCGACAACCCTTTGAGCCCGGCCCTTCAACCAGTTCTTCACCCAGCGCGCCATGTGCCTGCTCATCCCACAGCTGGACAACTTGTCCGGAAGGATGCTGTGAGGGACAGTATCAAAAGGCTTACTGCATTTGAGAAATACTAAATCCACCATTTTCCCTTCACCCACTAGGTGGGTGACCTTGTTATAGAAGGATATCAAATCAGTGAAACAGGACTTTCCCTTTGTGAACCCACGTTGACTATGCCTGATGAATGCATTGTTCTTTAAATGCCTTTCAAGGACTGTGGCAGGTGCATAGTGACATATCTTAATTTTTTTTTAAAATAGTTGGTAGTTAAAGACTAACATTTTTCAGTTTAAACTGCCTTTTCTTCCTTTGTGTCTCCTGAATTTTGCAACTATCACATATATCCTATCATAATGCATTCAATCCTTCTCCCTGATAGGCAATGAACTGAAAATGACAAAGATTTAAATCACAGAATCACAGAATTGATTTGGCTGGAAGATACCTCTGGGATCATCAAGTCCAATGTTTGCCCTAACACCACCGTGTCAACTAGACCATGGCACTAAGTGCCACGTCCAGTCTTTTCTTAAACACCTGCAGGGATGGGGACTCCACCACCTCCCTGGGCAGCCCATTCCAATCCCTAATGACCCTTTCTGTGAAGAAATGCCTCCTAATGTCTAACCTGAATCTTCCCTGATGCAGTTTCAGACTATGCCCTCTTGTCCTCTCACTAGTTGCCTGGGAGAAGAGGCCTACCCCATGCTGAATTCCACTCCAACTAACAACCTTTCCTATGGCACCTATAAATATAAGCTAGGTATATAACAAGCTGGTTGTCTAGTTCATCCTTCCAACTACTTTTTCAGAGATCTGAGCTGTTGCACCAGCATAGTAAGTCCAGACAGATGCCATTAATTTCAGTACTTAGGCTGGACATCCACAAAAAGGAAACAGAATTTGGGTCTTTAAATTTACAATGATTACAGTCTAAAGTCTTTGGCATTTTGGAACACTGAATTCCTACACCCACAGAATTAATAAGTTTTTCATAAATTTCTAGTTCTTTCTATGGTACTTTTTAATATTTCATGAAGAGCCCAAGAGTTTATATGCATAAAAAGTTTAATACTTATCTTCAAAAAAGCAAGAACTAAGTAAGATTCTCAAAAAGCTTAAGTCCACCAAAATGAATAAATGAGAAGTTTGGAATTCAGAATTTCAGTTTTCAGAGGCAGGATAAGGACAACATAATCTAACTACAAGAAGATTTTGACTACCTAAGTGTACATATCTAAAACAATAAAGAAAGTAAAATTATCATGCTGTTAGGAGAACATTTCTAAAGAATATTTACTAATAAAACCTTTTTTTTTTTTTTTCAATTGAACAATTGGGTTTGACCTAAAGCAAAGAGAATAAAGATCTCTGCAAAGGCTTTTTGCTGATTTTTCGCACCAAAGAGAAAAACAGCTGTTGTAGCACATGTCTTCATAGAAGCTAAACATCTAAACATTTGTGGCGCTTCGAGATATGGTTTAGTGGGTTTAGCAGACATGGTGGCATTGGGTATACAGTTGGACTTGATGATCTTTGAGATCTTTTCCAACCATAACTATTCTATGATTCTGTGATCTAAATGTTTTTTGACCACCTCCAGGGATGGTGAGTCCACCACCTCCCTGGGGAGCCCGTTCCAATGCTTAACAACTCTTACAGTGAAGAAATTCTTGCTCATGTCCAACCTGAACCTACCCTGGTGCAATTTGAGACCATTTCTTCTTGTCCTATCACTAGTTACCGGGGAGAAGAGACAGACCCCCACCTTGCTACAACCTCCTTTCAGGTGGTTGTAGAGAGCAATATAGTGTCCTCTCAGCCTCCTTTTCTCCAGGCTAAACAATCCCAGCTCCCTCAGCCGTTCCTCATAAGACTAGTTCTTCAGGCCCTTCACCAGCTTTGTTGCTCTTCTTTGGACAGGCTCTAGTAGCTCAATGTCCTTCTTGTAGTGAAGGGCCCAAAACTGAACACATTATTCGAGGTGTGGCCTCACCAGCGCTGAGTACAAAGGGACGATCAATTGCATTCAGCTAGATTTCAGCAGGTGCCTGGGTAAAAGAACATCATTTCAGATCTTTCCCACTACTTGAGACCAAATAACTTCTACATAAGTCAACCAAGGGAGCTGAGACCATGGGGGATGTTAGTTAACAAGTGCTGGTCTCTCTCGTTGAAGACAGGCTCCTTGCCAGGAAGATTAATCTACAATGAAATTATGAATAACTCCATGCTGGGTATTAAAAAGTGAATGTGAAAAATTACACAGGTGTAGAGAAGAGCTATAATCCATAGTGTAGGTTACCTGCTGTTGACTTCCTTGTAATTATTCGTAGGTAAGCACTACGTAGATCGATGCCAAAGTTGTGTTCTTAGTCTCTATCTACCACATCTATGTGTATAGCTAACACAAGTGCACAACGGTCTTTAAGGAATCATATCAGCATATCTCTTCAGCTGACTGAATTAAAATAATTTTCTGATTCTTATCTGATACCCATCTTTATACAAACAACTGCTCATCTAGAAATGGACAATCTGTTTTTCACCGTGAGCAACTTCTGTTCATCTCTCTCACTCCCAAGCTGAGAGCTGTAAGCCCCAGGTTAAAGTTTAGGAATCAGCAAGGGCGTCCTCTACCACTGCTACTGAAGGTGTGCCAGCACAAAAGCACACCAGACTACAGACAAAATAGAGAGTTATACTTTCGATTTATTCTGGTGTTAAGTACACCCGTTTTTCAAAGCAGAGATCTGGGCTGCCAATCTCCATTTACAGATTTCTTTCTGATTTACATAGAGACAGGATAAAAATGCATACATTTGTCACTGCATAAGAACTACAGATTTATGTCTTCTGTCTTCTATAGCCCATGGGGTTTTTTGGTGCATGGGAACATAGCTTCAAAAGAGCAGTCTACAAGTTTAGACCCACTCTCTACTATGAATTTAGCCTGTAGTTAGGTGGTAAGGTCATTCTCAACAGATCTAGGAGACATGAGTTTAAACTGCCTTGGGCTAGAATACATGTCTCCAGCCACCTACTGTCTAAAACTCTGGCATAATAACTCTTATCAATAAAACATTCGGAAAGGAGGTGCACAAAAGTCCCACAGATCAAGTGTGTTGAATCTGACAGCTCGTGAGACACAAGCAGACTAAGCTAGGAAAGCACTCTGAACACCCAAGCTGTATGTGTCACTTACAGAAGCAAATTAAGCAGAAGGGTATTAGAAGTCCCTCAGTACCCTCTGGTATTTAAAAGAGTGAGTTACTTGTCCTTTTGCCTCATAGTCATACAGTGTTTCATCCTATTCCTAGACAGAAAAAGGAGCTGATCATTGCCTTAAAACTGGGAAGAAAGACAAATTGAAAACAGAAATTTTGCTTTTCTGTGGCTTTTAATAACCTTGCTGCTGCTTCTTCTCCTTGATGCAGCCCTGGCATATCCCAGATTCAGTGATCTTTTTGCAGTATTAGCAGAGATTTTGTTATTTCTATGGGTATTTAACAGAAAGTCATTCAACCCTTTTACTGCATCAAGGAAATCTTAAACCTTTCAGTAGACAAGCCAGCAGCTCAGACTCTAGCAGGCACCACCTTTGTAGCCTCAAGAGGTGAGCTGCTGGGGGGACATTTGGTCAGAAGAGACATTCAAGCAGAACCTTTGCCTGTGAAGAGGAAAACTGGTGTTGCAGGCTTTGAGCATTTTGCTGAATACTTTGTAAGTACCCCAACTGGAGCAGGAGCATAGACAGAATTCCATGAGGTATGGAAATCCTTGATATGCACACACTCAAATCCATTATCCTTTACCTGTATGTGATATAGCGAGCTTCTATTCTATATACCTTCCACTTACCACACAGATCTGTCAGTGCATCTCAGGCATTTTACACTCATTGTGCTTATATTTTGGGCAGTACTTTCCCACACCAAGATGTAGGAGCCCTAAAAGCAGCGTTACAAGTAATCATGTGGTAGTTGCTTCACAGTAATTGCACAGATACTTGTTCTGACTATGCAGTGAATATGAAGTTCACTGCCCTCTGGTGAAAAAAGACTGATTTTCAATTTCATAAGGTAATAGTTTACATATGAGTCTGTCTGTACCTCATAGTAAATACTAGGTTACCCAAGGTAGTGTTTGTTTTGTATCTATTTAATTTGAAGTCATTTTGGAAAACAAGATATTATTAATCAATCCTGAAATTTTTGGTCTCCCCACTTTCAGGGAAATCATGGCTTCGGGTAAAATTCTTTACAAGGCATTGCCTGTATAGAGCTGCATGTGTGGAGAACCTGACAGGCTACTGAATTCAGGTTTTTAAACTGAGTGCCCAGATATGGCGTGAAATTATTACCATAAAAGACAAGTTCTACAGTTAAGATTTAGCAGGACAGACCAGGCTCAAGGGCTAAGAAGGGCATTTACAAGATGTGCAAGGGGTCGCATCCCTCCTGCTTTCCTCCTCTCTTTGTGTCCATGCTGAGCTCCCTCTCAACTCCGACTGCCACTTATGAGAAGTAGCCTCAGAGCTGAAGGGGCAAGGAGAAAAGCCCACTACAAACTACACCCCACTTTGTCCTGGAGCCTATGCTCACTTGTCTGAAACACAGTTGCCTAGAAAACAACAGGCTGGTTTCAAAGGAGTCTGAAAGCTTTGCAATTTGGTTGTACTGCACTTCTTTATTTTCCTGGTGGGGAAAAAAATTATCCCTGGGCACCTCCAAGTAATCTATAGACTGTGGAATTAAGTTGCATGATCTGACTCGAACATAAGCCTTTCAAATTTCTAACAAGGTATTTAAATTTCCTTCTTCCCCCTATCCTCCGGTATTTGTCATCTTCTGTTTTGTCCAAATAACATTTTCAAAAGGAAAAAACTATGAAATGAAAAGTGCTAATTTCAGGGGAGCTTTTTTCTCCCCACTCCTCCAAAAGTCCAAATGAAAATATGAGCTGAACCTGGATTTCAAAATTATAGAAGTTTTACTGTCACTAACGGTAAAGCTCAGTGAGCGTATGTGCGTACACTCACCTAACTGCACAACTGACAGATCTTTCATGATGGGAGCGAAGAAGCCTGGTGGTTGCAAAATAAACAAACTAATTAACGAGACTTAGTTTTAAAACTCCATCCTTGGAAAGCAACGTGACAGTAACAGAGATTACACTCCAGTCCAGAGGTCCTGCAGAGAAGTAAACAGATTAGATTTCATTTTATCGCCTGTAGGCTTTTCTTTAAGCCTTTTTTCTAAAATTCCAACCAGACATCATCCCTCATTTCCCCTGACAGCTTCTGTTGTTTTTATTATTATTTCATCATATATTTTATCATGTGGTTTCAGAAAAAAGTTCAGAGTCTTTTTTGTTTTCACAATTTGTCGTATCCTGGTACAGTGAGTAAAAACCGGACCAGCGCTGACTCCAAGCACACATTGAAGCTGTGGCCTGTAACTGTCCCGCTACTCACAGCAGAGGCATCATTCTTGGCTTTGCCCAAAACCACTGCCTAAACACACCAGGGCCAGATGCAGCACCAGCACTAAGAGGGCACAACTTTGGCCATCATCTTCTGGCACAGCAATTATGGGAATGAACTGCATGTTCTTTAACTGCTGTGTTGCACTAGAGTTTGCCTCCCTCCAGCTCCCCACATCTGCACGTGGGAATCGGAAGAAAGAACTGGCAGCAATGCCAAACTGAGAGCACCAAAAAAGACCCTTCTTGGATATCTGTCCCTGGATAAGACCTGGCCTG